AGTAGTCAATCGTTGACGGGTGCAAGGCATACAAATTTCGCCATAACTCACAAGACTCTCGGGAGACGCTTTTGTTTACGGCCTGTTAGCCCGGCTTTGTTTATAAACTGGTTCAAAATTTGCACGTCTTTGGCATATAAATTCAAGAAAATAACCGAAACTGCAAAAAGAAAAGGCTGCCAGTCCGAGTTGTTTATCTGTCGTTTTCAGCTGGCTGAAAGCTGACTGGCCAAGTCTGTCCACGAAGTCCACAAAGTCCTGTCCCCTCATATTGCTTTAACAGTTCCCCAACTCCAACTCCAAATTCCCCCCTTATCCTGGCCAGGATGATTGTCAGGCCAACGCCAACAGCTGTCGTGCAAGTTTGTTTCCATCTCGTAGAGCCCGAGAGTTCCCTCTTTGAATGTCTGGACTTAAGACTTTGGTTGGAGTCGAGTCGAGTTGAGGTCCCAGTTGGCCGATGAGCGCTGCTTGCATGCTAAGACCAGTGTTATATGGCCAAACAGTTTATAGTTATGTTTTATTGTTGTCTGACTTGCCCCCCGCTCGGCTAGATTGTGCCAAGCTCACGTTGGCTGCCTTCTCTGCTTCTCCTATGCTAATTTCACGTGTGGCCATCGCTCTCTGCATTTTAACTTTTACCCCCCTTCACTGCTTTAGTGGCGCCCAACGTGGCCCTAACGGTAATGCCACAAAAAAGTGGGAACTTCCTTCAAGGGGAAGGGACACAATTTGACTGAGCAATTGCACTGCGTTTTTCTTGCTCAGCTGCAATCTGCATAATCAGCGGCTATGAAAATCCGACCAGCAATTTATGTGTCAAGTGAGTTGAGGCCACAAAACATTTTAACAGCAAACCGCCCAAAAATATTAATAAATAAAGACTGCAGGGTGCGAAGAGGTATATATGTTATTTTAAAGCAATATTTATATGAAAACATTCTAAAAAATGTAATCAATTTAAATGAAAGAATACCAGATAAGCGGAATCTCATTAGAATTCTAATTAAAGTTGAATGCTACAGAAATGATCGAAATGATCCTCCTTTTTTAGTTAACCACTTCCTCGTATATTCATTTCAATTTCCATTAACAAGTTGAGAAACGTAACTCCAACACCGCCGAAAAGGCAGCTCCGCGGTCTCCACCTCTTAATTTACTTGTCTCTCAGACGGTTTTTGCATTTCAACTTGGCCAAGGCTCGTGCCACATGCCCCCGCAGGCCCTAAACGTATTTTTATTTAAGCTTTTTCTCTTTTATTGTTGTGAAAGCGTTTTGTGCCAAGGTGTGCATAGAATTGAAACAGAAAAAAAAAATAAAAAGATTTTGCAACTTCGACCTGTGCGCTGTGCCCGCTGTCTGTGTTCCAATAAAACTGCTGCATTTAATATCGGCTCATAATATTTGTAGGTGGTCTATGCCACAAAAATAAAAATCGAAAAAAAGGTTTAAAAAAAAAACGGGGCTCTGGCAAAACGCCCACAAATTGTGCAAGGCATACGGCTGCATTTAAACCATTTTCCATCATCCATTAAAAAGCCATAAAATATTTGGTCTCGGCTCTTTGATTGCATTTCAGGCGTTGCCGGATGATGTGATGCAATGGAAAATCCGATAAAGGATAAATGTTTAATTAGAGCGCTAAATGTGGCCTCCCCCTCCTCAACCACTTCTCCGAAACAATAACTTGATTGCCTTTTTTCACATATTAATTTATCATTATAAATAGATTTATTGTCTGTTCGGTTGCATGACAAAACAAAAGACTTAGGCGACAAACTCGTTTCTTTGTCTTTTCGTTAAGGAAAATATTTTTGTGTTTTACCGATTTGCATAGATTGCAATGGTATCTTGGTCGGAGATTTAGCTTTGATGGATCATTATTAAATGAAGTTCGTTTGAAAATCAACAAAATCTTAGATTTTGTTTAATTACATCGCTTTGTATCTTTGTGGAAAAGCAAGGCAATTAATGGTTATCTACTTTTATACTTGCTACTCATTTCGAATAAGTAAGTCCCCCAATTTGTTTTTGCGCTAAACTCTGCCCTTTACCCTCGACCCTTGAAAAGCTGTTTATAAGCCGTATTTATTGTTTCGTTTTCGATCTGCTGTTGTTGTTTCACTCGATGGGGCTCTGCCTTTGTTATGTTAAATCCAATTGGTGGCAACCTTTTGGTATTTAAACTTGACTTTAGCCAGCGGCAGCTAAAACAAACTTCTCCTTATAGCATTAAATGCTGGTTGCTTTTGTTGCTGTGTTTTATTTGTGCTCTTCGTTGTTATTGTTATTATAATCTGTTTGCTCGAAGTCTCCCATCAAGACGTCACGTAACAGTCGATCGGTCGGTCACTGGTTACACCTGTTTCAGCGCCGTCTTTTGGGGTTTTTCTTCGAGTAAAATCGTGTAATGATATGCCACCAGCAGGGTTTACGGTTACACGTTTTCCGACTCAACCGAAAGTTCATCAAACGCATTGGCATGCCACAAGTGGCAATTGGCTGCCCAAACTATAATCTGTCGAAGCAAGGAAAATCACGGAAAGCTCAATTGCATTTAATTTGAGGAAAACCCATATAACACTGCAGCCATCCTTTAAACTCCTCCTCCTTAAAAACCCAAATCGGCAATTAAAAACGACAAGTGAAAGTTTCCCTCTTGTGTGTTTATTTTTTGTTTTTTGCATAGGAAATTTCGTAATCAAATTTCGATTAAACTTGCTTCGATATTCGCACGTTTTTCAGTATTTCTTCTTTGTTTTTTGTATGCTAATTTAAATGCGTTTCGTTGGGGCGACAAATTGCCAGCTGGAATCGTGCGTTTGTTGAACTTCATTTGCATACGAGAGCTGAACCAGTTTTATGTTTTTGTTATGTTGTTGGCGATTTGGTGCGATGAAAAGGTCTTCGATTTATCCAGTGGAAAGTGAAACTTATCCCAAAAGAAAGTGTTGCCTCCCGCGCTTCTCCTCATCGCCTTATAAATATGCGATCACTTCGCCTCATTAAGTTGTAGGAGTTCGAAATGACTTGGCTGTTCGTTCAATTTGTTTACTTATCTAAATTCAAATGCATTTGATTAGTCGACGGAGATAATATTCTAATTATGGGTCAGAGTCACGCTAATGATGATGATTTAATTTATGGCTAAGTGGTCGCGATGACTTTTAACCTACGCCAAGGCGAATCATAATGGGAACACTGATGCGGATGGATAACATTTTTGGGTTTGGCCTGAAATTTGTTTACGGCTAAAGGAAATGTCACGCCTCCGCAAAAGGTGTAAATAAAGTTAACCTTTTTAATGCTGCAGCTTAAGTTTAATGCGAAACTAGTGAAAAGATTTCAACGATGGCTTATGTCAAATATTTTTTTAATATTTTTTTTTATTGAAGTAGTTTTACCTTTGTAGTTTTCTACCGGATTTAATTGATGGAATCAAAAGCTTGTATAACTTCTTACACGTTTTCGCCAAGCTTCATTCGTTATTGCAAAAACGTTTTTTACATTTTCTTTCGAGACCATTTTGTCGCTCCGATCTCGTTATGCTTTTCTCGTTTTTTTTTGTTTGCTCTTCCCAGGCAACAACTTCCACCTGAGTCTTCAATCTCGGAGTGAAATTGATATAGTATGGGAAGTTAATTAAGAAGAAGTCGTCGAAGAAGTGGAAGACATGGGAACTTGTTTCTGATATTGCATCAATTGGAAACCAGAAACCAAAAAAGTGCCGCACACAGACACATCACAAACTGGACAACGACAACGACTCAGGCTACCTGGCTGAATATCATAATTATTTGAAGTCATTAAACTTCAAGAAATCAAATCTCAACTACATATCAAAAGCTAACCAGCCAATGGCACAAGAAAAAACGCCGAAACAAGAAAATCCCGCAATCGATAAGGAAATTATGTATTAAACACATTGACGATTGGACAGGCCGCCACCGCCCGTAAAACAACATGATCTCGGGACAGTTAAAAAGACTGAAAAAAGTTAACAAGTTGCCACAGAGCGAACGAAGCATAAAAAAAAATAAAGAAAATCTCGCCACACCAACCGATTTTGGCGGCTGTTTAAGTGAATTAAACATTGCGCAACATTTAGGGGGATAAAAAAGTCTACTTCTGCAGAAACTTGCCCGTGTTCATTGGCCATATAAACGGTAACAACTTCGACGATCCGAATCTCTCTGACGTCCCCGCGATGTTGTTGCATTTGTGGTCGAGGAGCTGTCGCTCAATTGCAGTCCGCAAATGGCTTAAATGCGCGCTCATGACCGCAGGCAATAAAATAATTAAGACGAACACATAAAAACTCCGAGAAAAAATGGCTGCATAATTCACACTTTGAGCTTGTTTCAATGTTTGAACCAGCTCCAAAATGGGACGCGGTTTCAACTTAAGTGTAACGGGCTGTTTTCGGGTGGGAAATTGCAGATAAAGTAAAGGAATAATTAATAATTACCTTGCACACTAATTGATATTAATTTGTACATACGTTTAATATCATCTTTAGACATTCCCAAAAAATAATTTCAAAGAGCATATGTTCGATTCCCCAACTGAAATCATGAATGTTTCATCAAGCAATCGGCAAATTGTAGAGCAATCAAGCCAAAAAACGGTAATAACACCCGACTGTCGTCGCAGTGCTTTGTCAATTTTGAGGATTGGTCAACGTGTCGTATACACAATTTGCATAATCGGACGTAAACATTGCCTCAGCAACTACAGCAGCAGCCAAGGAAACTTTACCGCGGCGGCACACTGGGATTAGTAAACAATTATGGTTTTCGCGAAATTGCAACAAGTTAATTCTCCACCCAGCAATTGGCGGCGAATAAATTTAGTCGTAGGGCGTTAACCACACAGAAAACAGGAAAATTGCACAAGTTCAGGCCAAGATCTGGTAATTGTCCGCTCCATGGTAACTGACATGGTAATTCACTCTCCGCAAATAAATCGAGTTGAACCCGATGTTTTGGTGTCCACTTACTTGTCAATGTAATCGATCGTTTCGATTTCCTTTTGGATTTTTTCCACCTCGGGACTGTCCTCCAAATTGGCGGCATCTGAAAGAGGAAACAAATGCGGCATAATTAGTTTACACTTCAAATGTGGTAGAACGTTGCCGTTGCATAAATTATAGTAGCACACACAATTTATGAGTTGCATTCTCGGTAACATGGTAAACACATGTCACTTTCAACATGACCAACATAAATTATAATTAGCGTGGCAAAAAGTCGCAGCCAAAACAAGAACTCTAATGCAGGCAAATGGAAACCCAGACAAAACTCACGCACCGACTCAGAGTGGAAAGAAAAAGGTGTACGAATAATCCTGTTTAACCTTAGAGTCAGATGCTAAATATATATACCCAGTGTGCAGACATATAAATCGTTGTTCGTGGCATGATTTACGAGACAGCAGCCTCAGCTGAGCGATGCATATAGATCACTTCAAATGCCGGCCAAATGTCAATCAGCACTGAACACACATCGAGTGGTATAAAGAAATCGGATGGGGAATATATTATATGCTATAAGCTATAAAGACACCCCTGACAGACACTTTAATATCGGATACCCCGCCAAAGTGAGCGAGATCAAAGTGATAGCATTCATTTATGGCGCAGAGAATAATTATGAAACATACGCGACAAGGTAAATAAAACTGAGCAAATGGAATCGAAGAATAGGTACCCTAAACCATTATTATTCTATTTATTGCTTTCCACAATAGCATATCATTGTGTGTTCTATATACTCTTAAATATATTGAACTCCATTGGTTGTAATTAATTTTTAACTCGCTGAAACGGACTGTATTTGCCACACACTTAACCGGCGAGTTGTCCAAATCTAGGCAAGTCTTTTTCGGTCTTTGAATTCAGGGGAGCGTCACTCCGCGACAGACACTTCAAGTTCAATTGAAAAATGCGGCAAAAATAAGAAATGAGAATGGAGACCAACCGCATTGCCAGACAATGGCAACTGGCACACTCGCACTCCAATGTAAACAAACGGATTCGAATAGAGGCTAGGCTTGATCGCCACCAGCTGCTGCTTTTAGACAAGTTTCTGATTATTCTCGGCTCTCCACACATATATACATATAGAGTAGATATAGTAGATATGTATATATGTGACGGTTAAGCGACTGTGTCTCGATCGTGTCTGAAAAGACTAAAACTCCAACCGAGAACTCCAGACAAGTCAAGTCAGCTGAACTCGCAAAGCAAATTTCATGCATGCAAATTAGTTTTTGAACCTGTTGCAATTTGTTGTAACCCCCCTGGAAAATATGCTGTTCCCAGGCGGAATGCTAATTGGGGAGAACGGAAGCGGGGAGTCTGCAGGAAGGAACTAGTGAAAAATAGTTCACAAATTATAATAAGTCTCTGGCTACAAGTACAAGTACAAGTACAAGTCGAGAAGAAGCTCGGCTCACTCGTGCATATCCTAGAGACATGCGTGAGAAAATCATCGCAGAACTTCTCACGGCAGCAGCAACTGCAAATTTATGCAATGCCAGAAGCAGCAGAATGAAAATAGGGTCCAAACCCGAACACCAGGCTGCAACTCCTGATGGCCATCGCCCGATTTCGTACTTGTAAATTACTCCGACCAGATGAAGATGCTCCGCCGGGGGGAAATGTGTGGCAAACAATGTTGTCCATGTGACCGCAGGCTAGGTATTGGCACGTTTTTAGGTGGTTGCCCCGGCATTATGTTCTTAAATGTTACGATCGGAAAAAGTGTTGCAATTCAGCCGAGAGCGAAAGGGTTTGAAGGTTAAGTGAAGCGATTTGAGTTAGTCTTGTAGTGGATAGACTAAAAGTATTTGCTGTTCTTTGGAATACATCTATAGATAGCTTAACAAAAAGTAATTCCACTTAAATGGAAAACAACATGTTATGATGTGTTTAAAAAAAGAAATTATGCCTTAATAATTATGACCTTTTTTTAGGTAAATCTACAGTTAAGCTACAGTTAACTCGCCATAAATGGGTTAACATTTTGTTGGTAAGCACGCGAGAAAAACTCATTCTGCGGTTAGTCTGAGGTGTTAATAAAAACGAAACTTAAGCAAACAATGAACTCTGGCAAGCTTCAAAGTTGCCAGTAATTTCCCCGCAAAAAAAAGGTGACCAGAACTCCTGCCACAAATGAATGCAAATCAAACCGCAGAAGAACAGAGATTAATGCTAGAATATGGAAAGATGGTGAAATAAATAAGAGGCAGTAGCTGGAGAAGAGCCGAAAAGAACGAAAGATAAATGATGCGGCAGCGGGCAAAGCGGAAGCGGATATATCTTAGCCAAGTTACGGCAATTTGTGGTTTTAATAGCTCTTCGCTCTTCGGAGTCTAGACCCCATTCAGTTTCCCGGGTCTCCGACGGTTTTATGGGTTCTGTAATTGAGAAGCCAGAACATGGGACCCGACACCTCATGCCGGGTGACAAATTGCGGGGAGCGGCGGCGGAGAAGTCCTCCATTTCTCCACATAATCGCCAAACACTTTTCACATCTCCTGCAACGTGACGAATGTTGGCCGATAAAATATGCTAAGTATTTTTCAAAGCAGAAAGAGACAAATAGCGGAATGGTTGCGGTGCTTGCACAAACTACAAAACTACAAAAAAAGTGAAGAAGTTTACAATTACTGCAGGAGAAAAAATGTTTCCAATGACTAAATAAATCAGCGTGGGAAAGCGACTTACGGAAGGGAAGTAAAAAGGAAAATATCATGGAGAAGAAGCTCTGAACAATTATAATAAATTTTATTCACTGCAATTGGCAGCCAATAACAAATATGGTATTTAAGGAAACATGAAACGGCAAAAGTCAAATATAAAAGCACTTCAGTTTAAACTCCACAACCTTCCCCCAAAGACTTTGCAGCTACCATAAAAAAAACCACCCAACCCGAGTCACAATGAAACAGACAAACAATTGTCGCCACAGTTTTAGCCGAGTATCAAGTTACCCCAGACAGTTTTATGCACAATGCACTATGGGAAAAAAGTCGATTTTTTTTGGAATAAAATCAAATTATTTTACAAATTATTTTCAAAAATAAAATATATTTTTTGAATTTACATACCCTAATTAGCCAAGAACCGTTATCTAAGATTTTTTACTAACAACACTATAATGTTGATAAACGAACAAAGTCAGATGTTCGATTGACTTTGTTGTGTGCTTAAATTAGTGAAAAATCTTTGCAAACTTTGATTGTTTATTTTGTGGAGCAACAAATTGATTTATTATTTCTGATTATGGCAAATCATAGCAAAGGTTTTTATGAATGTATCTTAGATTACATGTTTTGATTATTATGACTTGTTGTCCAACTGTGAACTGTTTTATATGTGTATCTTTTTAGCTTAAAACTAACAAGTTTGTTTGTGTTCCGTGGTGTATAACTTATAAATGGCACAACGTTGCAAAAAGGTAAAAACGCAAAGTTATTACCAAATGTATCCCTAATATCGCAAAACTAATCATTTTTGCAACTTTTTGCACGTTTCTTCAAAATTTAACTTTTAAGGTGCTAACCTAGCAATACAAATTTAACACAGCTTGAGAGAAGACATGACACTTGGCTAAGCTCGAAAACATTTTTTTCAATAAAAAACGCTAAGAACCAGGTGGACCATGGAAAAAAGTCTGAAAAACATAAACATATTAACTAAAATCAAAGTTTTATACTTTTTTGTTACAGGCTCTAAAAAAGTGTTCCGCAAAATGCAAAAAAATCTATATAATTATTAAAAAAAAAGTTAGGACAACGAACTTTTTTTTAAATTGTTTTGTTTAACTATTTTATTCCAAAAATAAAAAATTTTTTTTTTTAATATTTTTCATTAAAAAAAATTTTTTAAATCTAAAAAATGGGCGAGGCCACACCCCATTTTCTTAAAATACATTCCTTATTTTATTATTAACTGGAATCAAAAAACAGATCAATAAAATGTTGATTAGTTCTCAAGTTATTAATTAATGCCAAAAAAATCGACTTTTTTCCCATAGTGCAATGCAGAGAAATAAAGAGAAATATATCTATATATACTCGCATATATGCACACTCTACACTCAACAACAATTACAATGTTTAGGGTTTAGAGGAAAGCCGCAAGTGACATAATTTTTGTATTTTTCTTTCGGATTGGTAAGCCGATACAAACAGACCCCAAAGCCCAGTAAAAAATGAGTTTGGCTGATTTTCAATTAAATATAAAGTTGTGTAATGTCTGCGAAGAGTGGGAAAAAATAAGAAATGAAAGTAGGGATTAAGTGCGTGTGATATACGATATGGGACTGGAGTTATGCATATGGGAAAAATTTGGTGTGGGAATTGGAGGATAAATAAAAAAAAACATTATAATAAAATACCATTTTAAATATATTTTCGTTTACAATATAAAATCAACAAAGGAGTTTACAGATTATTTGAGACAAATAAAGCTGACCACGTTTACTTTTATAAGATTAAATAAAAATTCATTCAAGCATAATTATCTTATTAATATGACAAACCGAAAAGCACAGACATATTTGTGGAATGTCGGCTCACTGAAAATCGCTTTACATCAAATATTTTTCACATAACTCGGGAAAAGAAAAATGAGTAAATTGATGCTTGAGGTTGCGATATGTAAATATTTTTGAAAGCGGAAAACGCACGCTTCGGCGATTTATCAATGAAATAATGACCCCTCCCAAGGCGTCAGTCAACATTTCATTTTGATCCCAAGCTTAACATACAATTTCACAGAGATTAACATTCGGCAGGCAGAAGTGTTGCAATGTCAAAGTTGTGCCACCGAATATGTAAAAAAGGGATTATATATAAGAAACAGAAAATCGATTTGTGTTGGCTGTGTTGACTGGCAATTAATAAAGTGTATGTATCAACACGAGAAAAAATATTCTGATATAATAATTTATATTTAAAAAAATTACAAGTAAATTCTACTTCAAATATCTTCAGAGCTTGTGGCAATGATATGATATAGGGGAAACCACATTGTTATTAACTACAGTTTCAAAAGTAATAAATATTT